GTCTTGAACTATTCTTTTTGGAGTGGGCGCAACACCTTCTGTTGGATGGAGAACCCTTTTGTAGGCACGAGCACCCTCATTGGGAGTTGATTTGGAAAATTTCCTTGGGTCACCCTTTTCATAAACGGAAGTGATTCCCACATGCCTTTCAACCGAAACATGGGCATCTTGATTCAAATTGTTATCCCAGGGCATCAACTCCGGAGAGTCACCAGGAGGTCGCCCCCGGTAATTTCTAAGGGCTGTGTCATCTTCAAATAGTCCCTGCTCTGGGAGGATCCATCTGTGATATATTCCTTTGGCCTTCATGTAATCAATGAGATCAGCGGATGTCATTAGCGTAAGGGCATCATGGTAGAACCTCCAATCATTGTCATGTTTTGTCCCTTTCATTGTTTGAGCAGACTCATGAACAATATGGTCTACCAGATGAGCAACAGAAACGGAGCCATTTCTGTGCAAAACCTTTCTGAGTTCTTCCTCCCAACCTTGCCCATACCTAGACTCATATGGGTTTTCTGCCTTTCTGTGATCAACTACCTCTTTGCCATCACCCTCAACAAGGTTTTCTTTTGCCTGTTTGTACCAGCTCTGGAGCTGATCTTCTCTCCACTTGCAGCCAGGAGGACAAGGATTGAGACGGTCAGCAAATGATCCTTCAGTTTCGATCAGATCTTGGATGGTGAATATGTTGATCATTTGAAATTGCTCCTGTAGTACTTTACCAACACGTTTCAAACCAATCCTGACAGTGTCATTGCGATAGCACTTGTCCTTGACTCGGGTTTTCAAGTACCAAGGAGGAACTTCACCTTTCAGCGCTCTTACCCTTTGAATCTCAGCCTGGCATTTTGATTTGTAGTCACTGATGGATAGTATTGTCTTCCCAGAGTAGTCAAAGGGTACACATCTCTTGCCAACATATTCATCTTGGCCATTGATCTGCACTGCAGCACACCCAAGACACAAACGGACTTCCTTCTCATACTTCACTTTCAGACGATTGAATTTTGTGTCAGTGTAGGTCCCGCCATCTGGATTCAGATTTCCATTGCTATCTCTTGGGAATACAAACACAAAATCTCTTCCTGCACCTGCTCCAATGACACATTTGGTATGAGTTTCATCCCAGAAGACAATTTGTGAGATCTCTAAACTTTCTAGTTTAGATTTTGTGTAGTAATCCTTGGTCGGATCCTCCTCCAGTAGACCAAGTTTTATCAGTAGTTGTGTAGCCCATCCCAATCTTGCTTTTGCCCAAGGAGAATTCTCGTCTACCCGTCCTTGACTGCGTAATTTAATCTTTGATACTTTTGGCTTCAGGCTTTTTATGCAAGTGTACACAGACGAGACACTGTATAGAACAAGAGGTGAATCGCAGTCATTGGTGGCATGTTTCTCTTTCAATTCTTCATTCAATAGATTTGTTGCTTCCTCAATTGATGAGCCAGTCTCCACCAGGTTTGCAATTGTTTGCTCCACTACAGAGCCACGCTTGACCACTGCTTGGCGACCCCGACCAGGCCTCACAGAAGGGTCGTACTCAATACCTTTTTCCAGGCAACTCATAATATCTTCTAGTTCTTTCTTGATACAAGTCCCTTCAGGAATTGCTAGGGCTTTCTTGATTTGAGCAGAAACTCCGTTTTTGCCAGACCATTTCTCCCTTGGAGGAGCGTGATGAACATTGATGAAAATATATTCGATGCAGATCCTCTTGGATTC